CGCCCACGCCTTCCTCCCATGCTCGATCCTCCCTTCGCCCGCGCGTCGTCCTTACACCTCCCGTACCCCATGCGCCAATCCTCTCCCATCATTTCTGATCAGGTAACTGGGTGCGTGTCTCCCTTCTCGTCCAGGAGCCTGGGGACTACACGGTCTCCCTCTTCGGGACCAGCAACAGCGGCGGCACTTTGCTCTTGACTGTGGACGACTATGCTAGCCACGGAACCGAGGCGGTCGGTGTCAGGACAGGAGAGAGAGGTGGAGAAGGGCCAAGGGCGGTAGATTCTCGGATTCTCGGCGTGCTTGCTCGTTCAGATCCTTCTGCTGTTTTCTCACCCATCTTGTCCTCCCCCTGGTTTTTCCCTCCCTCCCGCCATCTCTTGGATGCAGTCCGTCACAGCTGCCATTCCCCCCACGGACGGGTACCATCGATGGTCCCTCTTTCAAGACATCGCCGTCCTCCCCGCCTTGCGTCGCGGCCCGGCTCTCCTCACCGTCAATGTCACGGGGATCGACAACTACAAGGAGGGGAGTCAATTTGGCAACCTGCTCTGGCTGGATTTCGTGCGGAGAGGGTAGACTTATTTCGGTGCCATTGTCCTCCCTTTTTTATTGATTGACCGTCCTTTCTGTGACATGTGGGTGGGCCTCGCAAGACTTGCAGGGGTCGGGTCGGACGACATCATTAATAGGGCAGAGAGGAAGGGCAAGCACTCGACACATGCCTTCGTGTGCGTGAAGTAAAATCGACTGAAGAAGCGCGCCAGGATCCTGCATCGCACGTGCGGTCTTTTCTTTGTCTTTAAATTCTATTGCTTCCCCACGCTAAGGGGCTCCGGACGCCTATCGACAAAAGGACGCCCGCCCAAAGGAACATGCCAGCCTGTGTATCGGCGTTTCGATCCCGTACACCCCATGCCACGCGGCTGCCGCACGCCAGGAGGACGATTGCTGTGGCACCCTCCTCAACGGGGCACCGCCGCTGAATTTTCTCGTGCCCCAGGTCGTTCGCTTTGGGTCGTATGTTAAGGAAAGGAAAGATTCTCCATCCCTCGAGATAGAGCCTGGCCTAAGCGGTCACAGACGGCCAGCAAGACGACGGAGATGCACGCGTCCGACAGAAGCCCGCATGCACACCAAGTTGGCTGCATCCTGGCGACGAATCCAAACTAGCGGGTCTCGGACCTCCTCATATGAGATACACCTCCTTTCGATCAAATG